CGGACTCAGTGACGTATCGGTCGACTGGGTGCAAGAAGTCGCTCAACAAGTAGACCGCCTGCTGCCCGGAGGCATCAGCGTGCTGGGGCTCTATGTGGTTTCGGCTCGGGACGTACTGTCGAACTTGGTGCCGTACCTCCGAGCTACAGCGGAGGCGGTCGCGTTGCCCTCCAATGTGATAGTGGGCGAAAATGTCCACTACCTTGCACGTGTGTCCCCGCATGGAGACATCTCCTTCCAGAGTTTCTACAACGTGGTGGATGTCAACAAGACACAAATGCTACAAGCGGAACGCAAGACCTCGACGAAGGATATTAAATTCAAGCAGTATCGAACGCTGATCGATCTCGACGAACCCACCCCGTTCATCAATGTCGCTCCAACTGCTGCCATGACTGCAACGGAGGTGGCTGAGAAACGCATGAACGAGGTGGAGAGCCAAATGAAGCCGCTGTTCCGACGCGTCGAGGATGCCATTGCCGTACCTAAGCTGACGGGTGATACGAACGCTCAGCATATGAACCTGCTGACGTTGACACCCCCGGAAGCTCAAAAACTTGTCGAGGATGTAAGTGCGACGACGAAGTTGAACTCACTATTGGAATATTGATTTTCTTTTTTGCTTTGTTGATAGCCGCTTGGTGGTATCCACGGAGCAATTAGTTGCGTCGCGTTCGTATCTCAAAGCGAACCTGAAGCCAATGAGGTGGCAGCGAAGTACCTGAAGCGAGACTTTGTCAAGTCGCTGCTGGTACGTATCGCTTTAGCTCGGGAGAGGTGGGCCGAGGATGATGAAGGTAAGCACTGATACGCTTGGCACTTGTGTCCAACACAGAGAAATCAGGCTCTCGTTTCTGACCTTTTGCTCTGGATTTTGTGAGTAGTTGAGCCAAACGAAGTGTTCAAAGAAGGTGGTGTCATTCGACTTGCTCAGCGAGGTTTGGTGCCATGGCGCTCCACTGCCGGATTGAGTTCCCATTTTTCGGCAGCGGTTCATGTTTTTCCCGACGAAGACACAGTAAAGGCGGTGGAGAACGCATTGGAGATCCTCGGTGGTGCCTCAGGTAAAGATGCTGCTGCATGGGCTGCGATGGAGATCGGCGGACAACTTGGCTCTCCCATGGATCTTACATTCGGCGTGACCGAGTCGGAGCATTTCAAGTACGTTTACTATCTGCTACCGGTGGTCCTCGTCCTGCTTCTCGTAGTAGCCCAATACTTCATGTGATAATTTTTACGTGATGTTTGTTTTTGTTTAAATTTGAGGCAGTAGTTGCAATGGTTTAAATTTTGTTGCATTGGACTCGATTTACTTTTACAATGTCTTGTGTACATCTATCTAACATCGATTCTATCGTATATATGGCGCGTGGTCGCATTCATATGCGAGCGCGGTTTAATACATAGCGCTGAAGGCCCACTCAACGTTGCTAGCCTCGAGAATACGCGACTCAAGGCCGAACTCAGCGAACGTCTTGCATTCCGTCTCAACGACCTCCAAGCAGTCGTCCGCTTCATCTTCAACAGGCTCTTCTTGTTGCTTCTCTTCTGTCTGCTTCTGCTCTGCCTGCTTTTGCTGACGGTGTTCCTGCACGGCATCTTTCATGGCGCGGATGGTGCGGTTGACCTTCTCGAGGTAGACCATGTTCGACTTGCAGTCCACGGAGCAAAATCCCGGGTGCTGGCTAAGCGTCTTGAG